TTCAAAGCAGATATTGTGGGATTTTCTGCCTTGATATTCTGAGATATAAGGCTGTGTGGAAGGGCCCTGAAAGGTCAAGTCCAAAAAACCCCCTGAAGGACCAAAGGTTGTGAACCATAGCTCTAAAGTGTTCCCAAGGCGGACCCCACATATAAATTAAATAATAGGGGAGCAATCTAACTTTTGCGCCTATGGGCACTGGTTGATATTTATCACCTTGGCATATTAAGTACTTAAAAATGAACTGCATATTAAGAAAGTGAAAATATGTGAAGCAATTAACTTCTTTGTGAAGTAAGTTGTTTCTTGAATGACCTCTTCCCATAGCAAGAGAAAAGCTTTAAGATGTTTGAGGAGCAAAGTAAACTCACACAGGAAATTCAGCCACCCTGTTCCTTAAATAAAGCTTGCATGTAGATTATTATAAACTCTCGGTCTGGTGTCGTAAAGGGCATTTCCTCCCATTCTTTTGCGATGAGACATTGCGGGAATGGACATTATATTCTGAAGTAAAAAGTAGGGCAAGCAACAAAGTATTCAAAAAGTGATACTGTAACACAAACATTGTTTTTCAATCACAGCAGAAAAGTTTCTACTAAGACGGTTGTGACAAACAGGAAACAACAATTTACTCTTTTAGAGAAACAAAATTTTAAAGACTACATATCCAAGCACAATGAAGCTCAGGGTACTTAAAGGAAACATAGTCTTTTTGCTTTGTCTGTACATTTTTATTTAGTGCTACTATTTCCCACAAACTAAAATATTTATAAAAAGAGGGAAAATGTAAGTAAAAGGTTAATGATATTATATTCAAGAACCACATCAAATTGATGTATATAAATATTGTAGAATTAATGGAGTCTGAAGCCAGTTTAATTGCTATGACTCAATGCTGGTGAATCTTAATGGATTGTTCTTGATTTTATTTTGTTACTTAATTCCTTTGTTGTAAGTTTTCTGTGCTACTCTCCATTATTTTGTATTATTTTGATGTGTCTGTACCTATTTTGAGGCATTGAATGTTTGCCTTTTTATGTGTAAACCACCCTGAGTCCTTCCAAAGAGAGAGGGCAATCTAGAAATATATTATTATTATTATTATTATTATTATTATTATTATTATTATTATTTCTTACTCACTTCTTCTAGTGACTCAAATGGGTTACAACATTGCTAAAAACACATAAACATCTAAAACAGCGTTTTTCAACCTGGGGGGTCAGGAGCCCTGTGGGTGTCATGAGGGAGTGTCAGAGGGGTGGCCCTTTACAACTCTGCAACTACAACTCTCAAATCTCAAGGTCTATTTTCCCCAAACTAAACATTTGTGTTCACATCTGGGCATACTGAGTATTTGGGCCAAGTTTGGTCCAGATTCATCATCATTTGAATCCACAGTGCTCTCTGCATGTAGGGTTCAGAGTGCTCTTTGTCGGTGAACTATAAATCCCAGCAACTACAATTCCAAAATGACAAAATCAACACCCACCCCCACCCCATCAGTATTCAAATTTGGGCGTATTGGGTATTTGTGCCAAATTTGGTCCAGTAAATGAAAATATATCCTGCATATCAGATATTTATATTACAATTCATAACAGTAGCAAAGTTACAGTTATTAAGTAGCAATGAAAACAATTTTATGGTTGGGGGTCACCACCACATGAGGACCTATATTAAGAGGTCACGGCATTTGGAAGGTTGAGAAACACTGATCTAAAATATTATATAAAATACATCTATTAAAACATATTTCTACAAAATACATATTAAAATACACAGAACAAAGATTAAACATAAGACACAAGTTTAAAATCTGTGATTAAAACTGGCTGGGTGTCAGACTGCATTCTATAGTGTAGGTTTACTCACAGTGGATGGATCAAATCAGTTTTATATACTTCCCTGATTTCAGCTTTCATCCTATTTAACATCTTAAAATGTGTCCCTGATATTGTAAAATTAATGCAGTGCGACACCACTTGAAGTGCCATGGCTTGATGCTATGGGATCCTGGGATTTGGATTTTTTTTTTCGACTAGCAACACATTTAGTTTCATTTTGACTAACTTGTAATGATATTAAACACAGAAGACTATAAAGTGGTATTCCCACCTTATAATAGGGTAAAAACATGAGAGGAAATGTTCAATTTGAAGGAGAGCCCATAGTCCAATGTCAGACGGTGTGCTTCAGTTCCAACCATCTCTTGACTAAATATTCTCCTTAAAGCTTTGAGAAAGGCCTCTACCTGAAACACAGGGTGGTGGTGACAACAGAGGTCATGATGACTCCAACATGTCTAGATCCAGGGAAGTCATGCTACCACTCTGTTCTGCCTTGGTCAGACCACACCTGGAATACTGTGTCCAATTCTGGGCACCACAATTGAAGAGAGATATTGACAAGCTGGAATGTGTCCAGAGGAGGGAGACTAAAATGATCAAGGGTCTGGAGAACAAGCCCTATGAGGAGCGGCTTAAAGAGCTGGACATGTTTAGCCTGCAGAAGAGAAGGCTGAGAGGAGACATGATGAGGGCCATGTATAAATATGTGAGAAGAAGTCAAAGGGAAGAGGGAGCAAGCTTGTTTTCTGCAGAACAATGGCTTCAAACTACAGGAAAGGAGATTCCACCTGAACATGAGTGGAACTCTCTGCGCTGGAGTGTGGTGGAGGCTCCTTCTATGGAGGCTTTAAAACAGAGGCTGGATGGCCATCTGTTGGGGTGCTTTGAGTGCGATTTCCCTCCTTCTTGGCAGGGGGTTGGACTGGATGGTCCACAAGGTCTCTTCCAACTCTATGATTCTATGATTCTATGATTCTATGAACCAATTGGCTGCTTTTGCATAAGATCATTTTATATGTTAATTCTATTCAGGGTGTGACTCTTAGACCAGATCTATTTGAATAATGTGGAACATGAATAGTGATTTTATTCATTTTAATTGGGAGTACTCTACATTTGACCCAATCCTATATTTCTAGCTACAAAAAAAAGTTTTATCTGTTTAAATTTTATCTATTTAATGTCATATCGCTTTGTGGAAAACTCAATGATAAAAGCTGAAGGTTTAACAGTCAATGTCCCACAGCAGATTATTGGACCGGAAACCCTGAGGCCTTGTGTGGTTGCTTCCAGTTAATGCTTAGTTAGACAGACAAACTGTCTCTAGCTCTTTATCATTCTAATTTGGATTGCATAATTTGGATTGCATTTAGTTTAAGCGTAACTGGAATTAATTTTGTTTCCATTGACGAAACATGGCTAAACACATACTGAGAGGTCAAGCCATACTCACTCTATACACAATACAATACTGAGATCGATAGGTCTGATTTGGTATGAACCAGTTTCCTAAATTCATGCAAGCCCCAAAAACTTTAAGCTCAAATCCCAGTCTTTGGACTGCTAGACAGTCAAATTAATCTCATGGAAGACAACAGAGTTGGGTTGCTGTGAGTTTTCCAGGCTGTATGGCCATGTTTCAGAAGCATTCTCTCCTGACATTTTGCCCACATCTATGGAATACATCCTCAGAGGTTGTGAGGTCTGTTGGAAACTAAGCAAGTGAGGTTTATATATCTGTGAAAGTCCAGGGTGGAAGAAAGAACTCGTCTGTTGGAGGCAAATGTGAATGTTGCAATTGGCCACCTTGATTAGCATAGAATGGCCTTGCAGCTTAAAGCCTGGCCGTGTTGGGTCTGTGTGCCTGTTGAGTTGCTGATCAATTCCCCCAGGCAGGAAGCCTGGCTGCTTCCTGTCTGGGGGAATCCTTTGTTGGGAGGTGTTTGCTGGCCCTGAGCAGTAAATAAAGAACAATACTCAGAAAACAGGGCATCTCAGACAGGAAACAATCAGGGCCAGCTAACACTTCCCAACAAAGGGATTCCTCCAGGCCGGAAGCAGCCAGGCTTCCTGCCTGGGGCAGTTGATCGGCAACTGAACAAACCCAACACGGCCAACTGTAAATACTGGCAGGATTTGGGGGCGATTGCTCTTGGCATATGGGAGTTAGTAGTTTACCATTATCCAGAGAGCGCTGAACCCAGCTGACGACGGATCTGGACCAAATTTGGCACATGCACACCCAACATGGCCTAGTTTGGGGAAGACTGACCCATGATCCTGGGAATTGTAGTTCACCCATATTATTAAGTATTTTCTAATAAGCGCATTCATAAAAAATGAAATCAAAGACTGGCTTTTTCATAATAAATAGTGTAATTAATTTAATGATATTGCCTAACACCCCAAAGCAAAGAAATAACCCAGGCACAGTCACGGACCCAAGCAAGTATATATGTGTGTGTGTTTGTGTGATATATATACATTCAATTGGCCTTCTATATCCAAGGATTCAATCTTGTACAGTTTGAAACTATTGCATAAAGGGAAGCCACTGTATATAGGTGTATCTACAGCAAGCATGGGTGAACTTGGGCCCTCCAGGTGTTTTGGACTTCAAGTCCCAGCATTCCTAACAGCCTCCGGCCCTTTCCTTTTCCCCCTCAGCCGCTTAAGCAGCTGAGGGGGGAAAGGAAGGGGCCTGAGGCTGTTAGGAATGGTGGGAGTTGAAGTCCAAAACGCCTGGAGGGCCCAAATTCACCCATGCCTGATCTACACTATAGAATGAATGTAGTTTGACATCACTCAAACTCAATACTGTGGAACCCTGGGGACAAAACATGCACCAAAAGCATACTCTGTGCATGCTCAGAGGCTAGGCCAGTGGTTCTCAACCTGGGGTCCCCAGATGTCTTTGGCCTTCAACTCCCAGAAATCCTAATAGCTGGGTACTGGCTGGGATTTCAGGGAGTTGTAGGCCCAAAACATCTGGGGACCCCAGGTTGARAACCACTGGGCTAGGGRAAAATGCCCTGCTGTCCTTCCTGGTCCCTTGGAAGTCTGRGCTGGGAGGATGCTGCTCTAGGCTCYTCTCTTCCTCTGCGGCGCTTGGAAGAGCCACTGGAGAAAGAGAAAGAGRAGGAGGAGGAGGAGGAGGGAGACGCAGGAGGCGGGACTGCCCCAGCCCTTTCCTTTGCAGGCAAAAAAACAGCCTGGGTCGGAGAGTGTCCAAGAGAGGAGGGAGCCTTGCTGCGGCTTCATCCGCCCCCTTCTTTCTTCTTTCTTCTTCTTCTTTGGCTTCCGAGGGGAAGAGGACGAGCATGGCCTTCGCCCCCAGCCCTCCTCTCCTGAGCCTCTGCGCCTTGCTCTTTGGGCTGCTGCCCACCGGCGGTGAGTAAGGGGGCTCCAGGGATTCTTGGGGGGCGGGCAGGTCTCTCAACTCGGCCCCCCTTTTCCCCAAACTCAAGTCAGGGAAAGAAGAGGAGGAGGAGGAAGAGGAGGAGACTGGCAGGGGCCCAGGGAGATCCTTTCTTGGGGAGGTTGACTCATCTCGAAGTCAGCCAGACTCAGGGTTTCAGGGATGAATCAAGAGCACCCTCCCCTTGGGTTTCGAGGGAGGCCGCCCGCCTTGAGGGTCAAGGGCCTTAGGGTGCCTCGAACACCAGGGCCCTCCGGGGGTTTTGGACTTCAACTCCCACTATTCCTAACAGTTCGCGGGCGTCATAAAATCATAGAGGACCCAGCTATCATACTATCACCTCATAGAGTTGGAAGAGACCTCATGGGCCATCCAGTCCAACCCCCTGCCAAGAAGCAGGAAAACTGCATTCAAAGCACCCCCGACAGATGGCCATCCAGCCTCTGCTTAAAAGCCTCCAAAGAAGGTGCCTCTCACCACACAGAGCGTTCCATTGCTGAACAGCTCTCACAGTCAAGACCTTCTTCCTCATGTTCAGGTGGAATCTCCTTTCTTGTAGTTTGAAGCCATTGTTCTGCGTCCTAGTCTCCAGGGCAGCAGAAAACAAGCTTGCTCCCTCCTCCCTGTGACTTCTTCTCACATATTTATACATGGCTATCAGGTCTCCTCTCAGCCTTCTCTTCTTCAGCTAAATATGCCCAGCTCTTTAAGCCGCTCCTCATAGGACTTGTTCTCCAGACCCTTGATCACTTGAACTGCTATGGAATCCTGGGGTTGCTAGTTGACAATATCTGTGGCTGTCCCTGCCAGGGAGGGCTGGTGCCTTGTATTGAACCTTGGTGGTTAAATGGGTCTCAAGCTGCATTCATTCTATAGCAGATCTGGGCAAATTTCAGCCCTCCAAGTGTTTTGGACTTCCAACTCCCACCATTCCTAACAGCCTCAGGCCTCTTCCTTTTCCCTTCTCTTTTCTGCTTAAAAGGCTGAAGGGAAAAAGGAAGGGGCCTGAGGCTGTTAGGAACTGTGGGAGTTGAGGTCCAAAACACCTGGAAGGAGGACCCAAGTTGGTCCAGGCCTGTTCTACAGTGTAGAGAGGCCTCCTAAGCAAGCCAGGACCTGCTTGCTGCTATAGGCTTTCAGCGACAAATGGTCACTGGATGGGCAACCAGTGTGCATTGGCAGTGTGCGAGAAAGGTCTTAGGGTGCCTCTTCATCTGAATTTTCCCAACATTTCACCTTGGTGACACACTTGGTGATTCTTTTTGTAAATCAGCATCATTTCACAGCACAGTGATTCAGTATTACTAACAAATTGGAAGTTAAACCAATCCCTTATGAGAGACACAGACATGTGCATAAATTGTAATAGCAAATATGTATGGGACACACAGGACATATCTCACAAAAAGGTACTGTTCCATTATCCAGGTGGAGGCCACCAGGGGGTGCTATGGAGAGAAGGATAGACTATTTTATTGGGGTGGAGGAGGGCTGCAGCTAAAATGGGGGGGGGGGTTGGCTTAGAGGTTCAAACCCTCCTCCCCCATTTTTCAGATTAAAGAAACCTGGTTTACTCATGAATTTTAACTGGTTAACCAAATACCCATACAAAGTCTATAAGAAGCAAAAAAAATAAACAAGTCCCCCCAGAACTGGGTTGTTGTAGGTTTTTCAGGCTGTATGGCCATGGTCTAGAAACATTCTCTCCTGACGTTTCGCCTGCATCTGTGGCAAGCATCCTCAGAGGTTGTGAGGTTTGTTGGAAACAGCTTGGAACAGCTTCTCCCTGTCGAGATGTTCAATGTATTGTTGAAGGCTTTCATGGCCAGAATCACTGGGTTGTTGTATGTTTTTTTGGGTTGTATGGCCTCTCTAGTGCCCTACATATGTCCTCTGCCCAGATAATGAAAAAATACCCATGAAAATTTTCTGCCAAATGGCTCTGGGGCCTCACCAAACTCCAAATCCCAGGATTCCACAGTTTAGAGCCATGGCAATTAAAGTGGCATCAAACTGCATTAATTACACAGTATACTAGAGCCAACCTTAGTCTGTGTGCTGAGGTGCCTCCCCTTGAGCTTCTTCGTCCTCAGATCCAGGGTGGAAACATCTCCTAAATATTTTCCCTCTTCCAATGCTGCTATTTTGAACTCTTCTTGCTATTCTTAGCCTCACCCAAACCAACTTCTCTGAGATTTGTGGGTAGGGGCTATGGAGGGAGAACTGTGGGCAAAACACACTGTGCCAAACCACATCCATGTTATTTCAGAGTGCCAACCTGTCTGCATCCCTAGTCTCAGAAACTGGTTTTGCAGAAGCCGGGGAAAGTGACCTGACTCATAGATCTGCTTATAAATACGTTCCCGTACTTATCTTTCTATTTACTCTTCCTGTCGTTAACACTGTTTCCTGATGATATTTCAATTCCATTAGTGGAAGTAAAAAACACAGATAACTGAATTGACAATGTTAAAATGTTATGCCAATACCTCATTAAGGATATTTTTTACAACACTGTTTAGGGATGGGATCTAAGAATATGACACTTGCATTTTCATAGCATAGTATAACTACAAGTTGGGGAGATTTCTCATCTCAAAGAAAGGCAGTTCAGATTTAAGCTGTTGATCCTCACTTAAAACCACAATTAGACATCAAAAAGATCAACTAACATCCCCAGGTTGTAACTAAATTGTGACACATGTAAATAATCCAGGGAGAAGATGGGAGAGCAGGATGTCTTCATTTTTATTATTGTGCCCTAGCCTCTATAATAGAGGTGGCAGTTCTAACAAATATTGGAAACAAGGAGGTGCTATGCTGTCCTCCCTTCACATTTATGGGTTTTTTTTTACTTCCCCAGATTAAATTACTTATGGATTTGATAAAAAAAAATGTTATAGATAGAAATTTCTAGGTCCTCTATATGTCTCTATAGTCAACATCTGCTAGAAGTTGACCATGGAATCATACTGGAGGAGCTAGAGGTATCCTCTCAATTAAAAAATAGCAATTTCTTTATTTGTGATTTTTCACTTTTATGGGGGTCCTGTGTCCTTATCACAGGGAATTTGGAAGGCTGTCTCTATTCTATGGAATCTGCAACCCAAAGCTGCCTACATCTTTCTTTTTGTTGTGAGCCCAGGTATGTAGCCGGGGGGGGGGGGGGGGTTAGGGGCTTCACCCCCCCCCCCCCGAAATTCTCATGGTGGTGCGCGAAAAGGCCTTACTGGTGCATTATTTAAACTGTTATGTTTATTCATATCATGATCTGATCACCATACTCAATATATCCCATATGCATGGGGGTATTGGGGTAATGATACAAAAGGTTTGCTAGGTAGACCCTCTTTCACTCAGACTCAGCCCCCCCCCCCCGAAACTCAGCCCCCCCCCAACCCCCCCTGAAAAAAACTCAGCCCCCCCCCCCAAAAAAAAAACAAAATCCTGGCTACGGGCCTGTGTGAGCCACTTATCTCTATTCTCGTAACTTCAACTCATATAAAAGCAAGCAATTCCTTTTTATAAAGTCTTTTTATGGTCATAAAGTTCTATTTTTTCCTCCTCACCCCCAGTTTAAGAGAGTAAAGAGTTGGAGAAACATAGGATACATCCAAACTGTAGAATTACTGCAGTTTGACACCACTTTAATTGCCATGGCTCAATGCTCTGAAATCATGGCATTTGCAATTTTACAGGATTTTGAGGCTTTGCTACCAAAGAGGGCTAGTGCCTCACCAAACTACAAATCACAGGATTTCATAGCATTGAAGCATAGTAATTAAAATGGTATCATACTGCATTAATTCTACAGTGTACTATAGATACACTCATAGCCTTTCACATTGGATTGCAGCAGCATCTCTGCAGTAAACCATGCAATGAAGCTTGAGATGAGATCCAATGGGACCTGCCAATGGGACCTGCCTGCAACAGGCAAAGCAAACAGCAGCTGTGCTAAGAATGCCTCGCTGAGCTCACATGAGCAGCAAGAAGGGGAAAAAAGGGAGATGAGATAATCCTGTCTTACCAGCTAGCCCCAACATGTTAAAAAGTGTGGCTCTGTAAGTTTGGCTGCCAAAACGGAAACTATAAGAAAAATGGAGGTGAATGAAAGGGGGGGGGAAAATCATCCCAGGATGCATTTTGGAAAACAAGTTTTGAAGGTTCAAAATGTTTCAATCAGTTTATATAAGGTTTACTAGACTTCAGTCTTTCGTTTCACACATGCATACCTTAGTTTTGGATAAAACCTTTGTAGAAACATGTTGAATTGCTCTTTCACTTCTGGCATGGAAACTTATCTCTATTCTTTCTGCCTCCAATACCAAAGTTTGTATTAAAGAAGCAACGCCCAGGAACACATCTACCTCCTTAACATAGGGCCCTTCTACACAGCCCAGGCCCGTAGCCAGGATTTTGATTCGGGGGGGGGGGGGGGGGCTGAGTCTGAGTGAAAGAGGGTCTACCCTAGCAAACCTTTTGTATTGTTACCCCAATACCCTCATGCATATGGGATATATTGAGTATGGTGATCAGATCATGATATGAATAAACATAACAGTTTAAATAATGCACCAGTAAGGCCTTCTCGCAGACCACCATGAATTTTGGGGGGGGGGGGCTGAAGCCCCTCAAGCCCCCCCTCCGCTACATGCCTGACACAGCCCTATATACCAGAATATCAAGGAAGAAAACCCCACAATATTTGCTTTGAATTGAGTTATCTGAGTCCACACTGCCATATATTCCAATCCAAAGCAGAAAATGTGGGATTTTATTCAGCTGTGTGAAAGGGGCTTGAGTTATACCTGTACAGCTGTTCCTGAAGAGGTCAGAAACAACAGTAATAGTTAATTTTTCTTTTTAAAGTACTGGTAATATAAATTGAATTTGTGTATTAATAAGCTTATATTATTTTGTCATAATTAGTCCCTTCTGGGAGAAAGTCAGGACATAAATATGGACATAA